CGCCTGCTCGGCCGGGGCGTCCCAGCGCCTGGCCCGCCGGGGAGGGGCGATGGGGAAGGAGGGAGGGACCGCCCGGCGGGGCAGGGGGGCCGGAGGGAGGAGCCCCGGCTGCAAGCTGACACCCGCGCCTCGCGGAACCGGGAGAACTGCAGCGCGCGCACGCACACTCGCATTCACACTCGCGTCCTGCCCGCTTGCACCTTCCGGGGGGACTGCACCTCCCCTCCTCGTGCAACTGCCCTACTCCTCAGACTTATCCAGATCCCGTCCACTGAACCCCATGGGTTCCCTGGGAGGTCCTTCTCTCACCCTCCCGCAAAGCGCGAGAGTCTGCCTCGCACTCCAACGCGTCTCCTAACTTTCTTTGCAAACAACCCCCAGAACTCCGCGCGGGTTCCCACTCCGTTCCCACCTCACTGGCAGACCGCACTGCCCCCTGCGGGAAAGCAGGGGACTCGCAGATCCGCCGGGCACAAACACTCTGCCTGCGATTCCATCAGCCCTCTACCCTTTTTGCATAAAGCAAAAGCCTGGGGAAATTTCTAACACTTCGAAGCAAGCTGAGCGGCCTTCCGTGCTCTTTTCTGTAGCGTCCCAACTCATTCCTGTTTTTGATCATGTCCTGAAGACCACTCTTTCTCGAGAGCTGGAGAAGAAATGGGAAATCCAATACTCGCTGTCTTGGTTTCAAAAGGGATTTTGATTGTATTCATTTCAAGAAGAAATTATCAGCCAGAACATCCAAAAACTGATCATGAAGCTGCCATTATAGCCATCAAGCATAATAAACCAATTACTTCACCAGCTTCATAGGTAAAGAACACTTTGAGAGAGCATTACTGAGCCGACAAGGTGGCTAAGCAGGTAAAGGCGCTTGCCTTCAAGCCCTGTGACCTAAGTTCCACGTCCATCCCCGAAATGGCTAAAGTAGAGAACAGACACCCTTTCCGCTGTCAGTTTCTACAGGTAGACCATGCATGCCTCGTGTATTCATTTACTTACAAGCAAGTATGATAGATGGAGGTGTTCAGTGTAGAGCATGCATTTATCGTTCATGAGGTCCTTTGTTCAATACCCACAGACTACTTAGACTCATACACCTTCCGTCGGTCAGCTAGGATGCTTGGAGTTCTCTACAGTAGGAAACTATTGGCGACAATGTACATTTTAGACTCAGTCTAGAAGTCAGTATGAGAATTTTTAAAAATGTTTTAAACATAACAGAACTAGGGATAGTGGACTGCCGCTTTAATCCCCAAACCTGGGAGAGAAGGCGGAGGTGGTGGATCTCTGTGAGTTTGAGGCCAGCATGGTCTACATGGTGAGGTCCAGGACAGCCAGGGCTACACAGAGAAACCCAGTCTCAATCTTAATGGTAGAGATCTTGCCTAGCATGTGTGGTCCCGTGTTCAACCCCCAGGGAAGGGATGGGAAGAGGAAGGGGAAGAAAGAAAAGAAAGAACAGAGTGATAGATTCATATTCCCTCTGAGGGTTCCAATGAGTCTGTCCCTCGCCTCTTGCTAGTTTCTGGGGCCGTTGGCACTCTAACCTAACTTTGGACCACACATTGCTAATTACTGTTATCTGTAGTCATAAGGGAGCCCTATAATGGCTCTTAGGGACCACTCCACTAATCCAGAATTATCTATCTGCCAGGCTATAAGATTAATAGATGAATCAAATCTTGAAAGACCCCTTGACCTCATTCATAGGCTCCAAATTTAGGCCATGGACCTGTCATCTTGGGAGTGAGCTGTTGTCAGCCAACCACACCTGTCACCTTGGGAGAAATGCAAATTGAAGCAATATAGAATAGCATTTTCTCAGCTATCAGATTGGCACGAGTAGAAAGGAAGGGTAACACCCGGCATTGGCCCCTGAGCAGAGAAGCACACAGGGCTCTAGGCGTGCCGCTGTGGAAGATGTCTGAGAGGAAGTTTGGCAATGCCTCGGAAAACCTTTAGACGTGCAAGTGCTTTGACTCATCCTTGTCCTTCTAGGATTCTATACTACAGAAAGAACTTGGGAGCGTGTGTGCACCGCAGAGGAAAGCTGGAAACAGTCGCAATGCTCTCTCACAGGAAACTGACGGGTCAAATCAGGGTGCCTTCGTTCAGCAGGACCCTCGGACCTTGTGGAACTGTGCTTGTCACTGCTCAAAGAGACCTATAATGTAGGGAAAGCAACAGGAAGGTCATAAGTTCAAAGCCAGAGGTGAGCCTGGGTTACATAGTTAGTTGAAGACCAGCCTGGACTATGTCGTGTGAAACCATACGTAGGGACTTAAGAGATGTTTCAACATTGAAGAGTTTTATAGAGGACCCAAGTTTGGTTCCTGGCACCCATAAGAGGCGGCATAACCTCCGGGAACTATGAACCAGGAGGTTCATACCATCTTCCCGTCTCTGTGGCACCTGTATTCCTGTGTACACATAATATACTTTTGTCTCTACCTCCCATGTGCTACCCTGCCTCGTTTGATGCAGTGCTGGGGACTGAATGGAGGGCACAGTCTGTGAATATTGGCCAAGCCTCTATCACCTGAGCTACGCTCCCAACCCTCGGCATAATCTTCATACTGTCACTAACAAAGGCGTTTATCTTAGGGTTCCTCGTGCTGTGATGAAACACCCTGGCCAAAAACAACGTGGGGAGGAAAGGGCTTATTTCATTCACAGTTCTGTATGACAATTCATCACCAAAGCAGTGGGGGAGGAGCTCAAGCAGGGCAGGGTCCTGGAGGCAGGAGCTAATGAGCAGAGGCCATGGTGTGTGTGTGTGTGTGTGTGTGTGTGTGTGTGTGTGTGTTACTAACTTGCTCAGCCTTTCTGTTTTAGTTTGTTTTGTTTTGTTTTGTTTTAAAGATTTATTTATTCATTATGTATATAACATTCTGCCTCCATGTATGCCCACATGACAGAAGAGGGCACCAGATCTTGTTACAGATGGTTGTGAGCCACCATGTGGGTGCTGGGAATTGAACTCACGACCTCTGGAAGATCAGCCAGTGCTCTTAATCACTGAGCCATCTCTCCAGCCCCTTGTTTTGTTTTGTTTTGATTTTGGACAGGGTATCTCTGTGTAGCCCTGGCTGTCCTGGAATTCACTTGTAGACCAGGCTGGCCTCAAACTCACAGATTGCTTGCCTCTGCTTCCTGAGTGCTGGAATTAAAGGTGTGCACCATCACCTACCTTCTTATAGAACCCAGGACCACCTGCTCAGGGGTGGCCCCATTCACAATGGACTGGGCCCTCCCACATCAATCACTGATTAAGAAAACACCCTACAGGCTTGCCTGCTGCCTGATCTTAGGAAGGAATTATTTCAGTTGAGGTACCCACCTCTCAGATGACTCTATTTGGTTTCAAGCTGACATAAAACTAGCCAGCACAGAACCCCATAAGAACAAAAGGTACCTGCTCCTGACGGCAGCACATGTATGCTAAAACTGGACTGACACAGAGAAGATTGACGTTACCCTTGGGCAAGGGTGACATGCAAATTCGTGAAGCCATCCATATTTTTTAGTGGGAGTGGGGGCTATCTCTCTGACTCTTGCCTGCACTTGGGACCTGTTTCCTTTCTACTGGGTTACCTGATCCAGTCTTAATATGGGGGGCATGTGCCTAGTTTTATTATAACTTGTCAGGCCATGTTTGGTTGATAAACATGGAAGACCTTCCTTTTTCTGAAGAGAAAGGAGTGGATCTGAGGGAGACTGGATGTGGTAGGGAAGGACGGGGAGGAGAGAAAGAAGGGGAAACTGTGGTCAGGATATAATATATGAGAGAAGATTAAATTTTTTAAAAAAAAAGGAAGAAAGAAAAGCTGGGTGTGGTGTCTCACACTTTAAATCCCAGCACTCAGAGGAGGCAGATGGATCTTCGAGTTCGAGGCCTGCCTGGTCTACAAAGCTAGTCCCCAGGACAGCCAGGGCTACAAAGAGAAACCCTGTCTTTAAAAACCAAAAAGAGCCAGGCATTGGTGGCACATGCCTTTAATCCCAGCACTCAGGAGGCAGAGGCAGGCAGATCTCTGTGAGTTCGAGGCCAACCTGGTCTACAATAGCTAGTTCCAGGCCAGGCTCAATAGCTAAAGCAAAACCAAAAAAACGAACAAACAAACAAACAAAAAAAAACCCAGTGTTTCTCATTATCATAAATGCAACTATCTAAAATATTCTGAATTCAGTTCTTTATGGAAAGAATAATAAATTATGATAAATTGCATCTATTCCAGGAATAAGAATTTACTTATCATTCAGAAATTTTACCAGGGCTGATGAGATGGCTCAACAATTAAAGGCAAGTCTGGAGACCTAAATTCAATTCCCAGGACCTCGAGTTACCCTCTGACCTCCACATGCACACACACACAGATGGATGGATGTGTTAGGAATATTTTCTAACACGAGCTCTCTGCCGATGCAAAATAATCCCAATCAAATCAAATCAGACCAAATTAAAAGATATCCAGGTTTAATTGGACTCCTGCACTGGCGGGTGGCCCTGAGGGGGAACCGGAAGGGACCATGGGAGGGGGCTTGACACACCACTTGTTTATTTTTTGAGGGGGGGGGAGCAGTTTAAATAGCCTGGGGGAATGGTCTTGACCTTTTCTGGGGAGGGGTCAAGGTTTGGCGGGCTACCACGACCCTCCTGGGGGAGAGTTCAAGGTTCAAGGGGAACAGGGGTGGGGCCTCCAAAGATGGAGGGGAGGCCAGAGACCAGGATTTACATGATGGATGGACAGATAGATGATAGACAGACAGACAGAGAGAAATGTAATAAAATTTTAAATTGTTGCTGGGTGGTAATGGCACACACATTTAATCCCAGCACTCAGGAGGCAGAGGCAGGAGGATCTCTGAGTTCCAGGTTAGCCAGAACTGTTTGCTACAAAAAGAAACCCTGTCTGGAAACAAAACAAAACAAAAAAATTTAATCATTAAAAATATTTATTGAATTCCTGGAAGTAAGTTCAACAAATGATGTATAAATCTGGAGTTGAAGAGATGGCTCAACAAACAAGAGCATTGCCTCCCCTTCCAGAGGATGCAGGTTTGGTTCTCAACACCCACGCGGTGGTTCCTAACCCCTGTAACTCCAGTCCCCAGGGATCTGCAGGTTCTGTCCTCTGTGAGAGGCAGGCCCTCACATATAGCACATACATACATTCCGGCAAAACACTCAAACATTTCAAAATTTGTCTTAAAAAGATTTTTTAGAAAAGATGGTGGTGGCGCATACCTCTAATCTCAGCACTTGGGAGGCAGAGACAGGTGAATTCGAGGCCAGCCTGGTCTACAGAACAAGTTCCAGGACAGGCTCCAAAGAGCAACAAAAAAAAATTTTAATGACTCCCTCAACTAAAAATAAAAAGTGAGGGTTTTTATTTTCACCAACTGAAAGACATAATTAATGGACAGGACAGATAATTACACATAACATTATCAAAATGTTCAATGCTCTTCTCCCCAAATTGATACATACATACAATGTTAATAAAAAACATCTCAGTCTGTTCAAAGTTTTAGAGTTGTTTTGTTGTTGTTGTTGTTTTGGGTTTAGTGTGTGTGTGTGTGTGTGTGTGTGTGTGTGTGTGTGTGTGTGCATATATTCACAAGCTCATTCCAAAAGCAGGTCTTTTAAATATTTATTTTTTTAACTTTGTGGATCTTTGATGACTTGGGAGAGATAACCACGGTGCTGTAAGTGTCCGAGAGATTGCAATGACTGCATTCCCTGGGGTCTTCCATACGCAAAACAAGCGACCCAACCCCTTTCAGGTACCCCATTTATTGGGCTCTTTCTCCCCTATCTCCGCAGAGCCAGGTACCACACTCCTGACTTAAACTGGAGCGTGCTGCAGCTACTCAGACTTAGCCGCTCAACCTGCTTGACCAGTTCACCTTGCTTCTCCCATTCCTGCCCTGAAAATCTTAGTCAAAGTTTTGCTCTGCTTTCTCTTCAACCCTCCTTCCTCCAGGCTGGCTCGGTACTTTCCCGTGTGCCTCTGGGTTGTATTGCCTGTCCCTCCTTTTAGGTACTGCGAATTATAAACTATCTTTTCCGTGGCATTTGCGCCCTGATCAGCTGCCTTCATGTACCTGAATGATAATAAAACTACATTTAAAAACTAATATGGGGATTTCCCCAGGAATCTCACGCTGGGAGAAGGCACAGGCCTGGTGTAGCCAGAGGAGAAGCTCCCCCCGGAGATTTCACACGGTTCGGACTCCTAGTCAGACCCCCTTGAGGGGGAAACTGGAGCTAAGGCAGGGAGGGGCAGGACCACACCCGGACCGGACTGTTTACTTACGAAGACGTCTGCTTCCCTTTACACCCAAGCTTCAATTCAGGACCCCAAAGTTGGACTGGAGGGATCAATTGATCTCATTGTTCCTCTTCCCAACGTGACCACATTGGATAAATCTTATTTATTTGCTTTTCACTCTCATCTCCGGAAGACAGGTGCGTGGGCTAGTATGTTAAGGCTCCTAGGGTCCAGGCTCCGACTCTAACAACTGGTTTTGTCTGACCCCAGCAGCTCGGGAAAAGGATGAAGTTTGAACTAAGCTCTGTCTGGCTTGTACTTTTCAGTGTGTATTGAATCCAAGTATCACGGCTTCTCAGCTCTGGGTGGGAAGCAGCAACGGACTTTCGACCAGTTTTCTGCTTGTTCCTCCCCTAGCTCGTTCCTGAAGTAATTCAAGTCAAATGTATTTCTCGAGATAGTGTGAATTCACTGAAGTCCCTCTAGCCTGGAATGAACCTTAACTTGTCAGCCCCATCATCTGCCCAACATCCTTACCCCCTGTCCTGTTTCCTCTGGTTCTTCTCTTTTTGAGGTCTATTAACTCTCCTTCCAGGCCCAGGCCAACATCTAGAAGACAAATGTTCTGTATTCTAGATCCCAGCAGCCTCAATCTCTCATTTAAAATATTTTTTTTAACTCTGTTCCTTATAATGAAAATAGATTTTTTTTTTCTCAAGTAATATATCCCGATTATGGTTTCCCTTCTCTCTTCTCCTTCCGGTTCCTCCATGTCCCCTCCCATCCTGGATTTAATCCTTTTCTGTTTCTATTAGAAAAAAAGTAGGCAGCCTGGCCTGGTGGTGCACGCCTTTAATCCCAGCACCCTAGGAGGCAGAGGCAGGTGGATCTCTGTGAGTTTGAAGCCAACCTGGTCTGCAAAACAAGTTCCAAGAGCTGTTACACAGAAAAATCCTGTCTTGAGAAACCTAAATAAATAAATAAACGTGTGAATGAATAAAGCTGATCGATATATTTTTACAAGAAAATCAAGTAAAGTGGTAATCGTGGATGCAGAGGGAGCTGGGTGTGGGCTCCCATCTCTAATTTAGCATTTTAAAGACTGGGACAGGGGAGTTGCTGTGAGTTTGAGGTGAGCCCCCCCCGTAAGGAGAATGAAAAACTGCGGACCCAGGGATGTAGCTCAGTGGTAAAGGGCTTGCCTAGCATGTGAGAAGCCATAGATGACATCATGCCAGCAGCCTCAGTGAGTCAATGCAGTATCCTTGTTCTAAATTTGTACGTTTTAACCAAAGAAGAAATTCAGAAATATGTCTCTGTCTATATGTGTGTATGTGAGTTTATACATAACCCCCAAATTTTGTATAGAGATGGATATGTATGCATGTGTACATGTGAATTTATATACTTATATGTGACCTGCGTGAGTGTGCATGTGCATTTGTGTGTATAAATTTATATATTATACACACACACACAAGGAGTTTATAGGTGACTGAAGTTGTGTGTGTGTGTGTGTGTGTGTGTAGAACCCCCCTCCCCCCAGGTTCTGCCATCGTCTTGAAATTTGAGAGTTTTTGTTGTTATTTTGTTGCTATTGCTCTATTTTGTTTTGTTTGAGGCCGGCCTTGAGCTAACAGTAATTCTCCTGCCACCATGGCTGGCTTTTTAATTTAATGAAGAATGTAACAAAATAAGCAACAGTAAACTAAAAGTAGCGCAGGGTAGGAGACAGTGTGATGGCCCAGACATTTAACACCCTCGCTGTGGGCTGGAGAGATGGCTCAGAGCTTAACAGCACTGTTCTTCCAGAGGTCTTGAGTTCAGTTCCCAGCCACCCCATTGTGGCTCACAGCCATTTATGCTGCCCTCTTCTGGCGTGTAGGCATACATGCAGGCAGAATGCTGGATACAAAGTAAACATGTTTTTAAAAAGTTATTTTCATTTTTAAATGTGTGTGTGCGCTTATGTATAATAAATACAGGTGCCTGCTGAATCCCCTGGAGCTGGAATTAAAGGCATCTGTGAGTGTCCTGCCATGGGCACTGGGAATGGAGTTTGGGTCCTCTGCAAAAGTGAAAAACTTTCTTTAACAGCCAAGCCATCCTTCTAGCTCCTGTGCCTAACTTTCTAATTGTTTATTTTGCTTTGGTTTTTGAGACAAGGTTTCTGTGTAGCTCTGTTGTAGACCAGGCTGACCTCAAACTCACAGAGATCCTCCTGTCTCTGTCCCAAGTGCCAGGATTAA